CCCACGTGTATAGAGGCTGCAGCTGTAAATGCGACGTCTTCTGGGGCGCCTGGTATCCGTAGGAGTCGAAGCCACCGATGAAGTCAACTGCGGAAGGGGGAGGCACATGATTAGCGACGGGCGGGTGCGGGGCGGGCTACAGCAAGCCGAGTCCTGAAAGGCAAGAATCTGAGGGCAGGACCTCGTCGCCAGGAAGCGGAGCCAGAGAAACCAGGGGAGGGGACCTGGACAGGGCCTTGGGGCGGGGCTTTGCGGCCGCTTCCCGAGGGCCGGAAGCGGAGGACCCGGACCGGCGAGGGCCAAGGCCCTGCAACTTCTGACTTGAGGCTGGGAGGAGGGGCGATGTAGACGCTTGGCGGCAGGCTCGAGCAATTCAGGGGACAAGACCCCCGCTAGGGGTGTGGCGAGATTGGGAAAAGGCGGCGCTGGGGCCATGGACAGGGCACCTAGACTTCTGGGTCTCAGTCCGGAGCGGGCTGGCTGTGCAGCGCCCCACCCACCCCAGCCGCTTCCACGTCCCGTCGAAAGGGGCCCCTTGGCCGACCCTGGCTTCCTCCCGCCCGCGCCCGTTTCGGGCCTCTGTCCAGGGTGCTGAAGGCGCGGGGCCTGGCTCCCCACCTCCCGCGGGGTGCCTTACTCACAGCTGTCCTCCTCCTCCAGGAACACTTTGCTCACGTAGCAGGCGAACACGAAGCCGAACAGCTGGGGAGGGGCGACACGTCAGAGAGGGAAGGAGGCGAGGGAACCTCTTCCTCAACCCCTAGCCAGGCCCTGCCCACGCTTAACAGGGAGGGAGGGGGCGTGCCCGGATGAAGACCAAGCCCTAAGGACTTCAGATTGACTGCCTGCACCTTAAAGTCAAACATACCTGGTCCAGTTCTTCTGGGAGCGTGACTTCAGACAGGTAATGATTTTCTCTCTTTGAGTTTTCCCAGTTGGACCTGGGCAAGACCTTATTGGCTCGTAATGACCTCGTGGGTGTAAAGTGCCTAGAACAGGATCGGCCCTCCCAGAAGCAGGAATCACTCCTGTCTTGGAGCTACCTTCTATTCTCCCAATTCTGAGACTGGTAATGTCACTCCTTTCTTGTGAGTAAGGAAACAAGCTTGGAGAGGGTCAGTGGCTTGTCCAAAGTCACACAGAGGGTGTACTGGGTATTTAAATTAAAGATTGGCTCAGATCTGGTGCCTCATCTCTCCGTTAAACCTGCTCACTCCCCGCATGGAGCTGGGGCAGGGGCGAGGGGAAGTGGTACAATTCACGGATCCAGGTAAAAGCAGAAGCAGGCTGGAACACCTAGGTTTGTCCCCTCCTGGCTAGAGCTAAAGATAGGGGTCGGGTGGAGGCCTCCATCTCTTGGAGTGTGTGTGGGGTAGAGGGACAGGACTCACTGCCAGGAAGATCTGCAGGGCACTGCTGAGGGCTTCGATGTAGGGATAGTCAAGCAGGCAGCCAGTGACAGAGATGACATGGTGATCCTCCAGGGCCAGGCGGGAGTTCAGAACAGGTGTCACCAGGCAGCCTGGCCCATTCTCCATCCACCAGGAGCGGTGCAGGGACGTGTTGAAAGTCATGATGAAGTCCCGGTCCTGGGGGAAGAGGGGCCTGGGATACTGAGCGTGGGGGAAAGAGGAGGGGATACTCCCCAAGCCCCAGTGACTTTACAGTATATAAGGACTACCTCTCACTTGATTGGAAGAGTGGAGTCTGCACCTGCAATTCCACATTCGGCCAGTAGGTGGCACTTGATGGCCATGCAAGCCTCACACTCCTCTTCCTTCACTGAGATGGAAGGGGCTGGTGCGGACCCATGAGCTCTGACTTTAAGGGCTGGAAGGGACATGAACGGTGTACAGGACTCAATTTCCCATCCATTGGTGAAATCTTCAACAGGCCCCTTTGCAGCTCCCCATTCAGCGTCTCCACTGCTGCCCTATGTGTGGCCCCGGCAAGGCTCTCCTGCCTTTGGTCAGTGGTCTTCCCATCTGTTAGATGGAGAAGGGGCTGGCCTACATCACCCAGGGCGTGCATTCATGTGCTCATCAAACTATTCACTCATTCAGTCAGAGAACTATTCAGTCTGCTGACCAGGGGCCAGGAACTTGTACGTGTGAGCTTGTTTCATCCCTTCAGCAGCCACGTGACACTGTGGTTGCTATTGTCTCCACTTAGATGAGGTCACTGGAGCTCAGAGGATAAGCCACTCACCCAGGGTCACAGAGCTAGGGCACATTAGAGCTGGGATTGGAATCTAGCAGGGTCAGACTACAAAGACAATGCTCTTATTCACATATTCTGTCTCCTTTATAACCTAAAAATAGAAGTTGTGTCTCTCTGGGCTTGCTCTTATTCAAGCTAGACAGTCCCACTTTCTTCCGTAGTTCTCCACGTGACATGGTCTGCTCAATCTTCTCCAAACAAACTCTAACTAGTCTCTTTCCCTTCTAAAAAATATTTATCAGAACTGAACCCAAATGCTTGTGGTTTAAGTCATACAAAATACATGGCATTTTCACTTCCCTTGCTCTGAACACTCTACCTCTATTAGTGGGGTCTAAGAGTAGCTTTCTGGGTCACCACATACTGTTGGTTTTTACTGAGCTTGTGATCAACTGGGATTTCCAGCTCATCTTTACACTATTTGATTGCTATTTGGCCTCATATGCTCCATTACTGTTCCTGAGAAGGTCAGAAACAAAAAATTGTGTGGGTGTGGAATGGGGTGCTCAGATTATTTGGGTGTGTAGAGAGAAGGCAGTCTCTTCAGGAGGTGATGCCCCAGACATATACCACACAGGAGTTATTGGGGCAGGGGATGGCAAAGCTCAGGCTCCGCCTTATGGCACTGTCAGGCCTGAGGCTTACCTGCGACAGCTGTCCAACCTCCAGATAGAAGCAGATGATAAACGCATTCCAGCCAACCCAGAGCACCAGCCAGGCTGCATACTGGGAAAAGCAGAGGTAGGGTCGGTGTAGGGACCAGAGGAATGGAAGAGGGGGTGTGTCAATAGAGACAGAGGTCAAGGATGAGGAGACCTTTGCAGAGGATTTTTATGGTGATACCTCAATCAGAGAGCACAGCATAGCACACAAATCATTTTCACATCCATCAGTCCTTACAATAGCCCTGCAAGCAGGTGCTGTCCTCTCTGGAGATAACTAATGTAAGGCTGAGAGGAGGACTAAGCTTTCCAAGACCACACAGCTAGAAAGAGGCAGGGCTGCCACTCAAATCCAAGTCCTCTGATGCTACTCCCATCCGCTTTGCTGAGAACATCCTCTAGACCTGTGGCCTCTAGAATATACTGGAATTGCTTAGGAGAGCCTGGCCAGGCTCGGTGGCTCAGCCTGTAATTCTGCGCTTTGGGTGGCCGAGGTAAGTGGACTGCCTGAGCCCGTGGGCTCGAGACCCACCTGGGCAACTTGGCGAGATCTCATCTCTACAATGAATCAAAAAATTAGCTGGGTGTGGTAGCACGCGCCTGTAATTCCGGCTACTTGGAATGCTGAGACGGAAGGATCGCCGGAGCCCAGCAGGTCGAGGCTGCAGTGGCCGGGAGTGTGCCACTGCACTCCAGTCTGGGCAACAGAGTGAGACTCCGACTCAAAAAAAAATTAATAATAAAATAAAAAAGTAAAAACCAGATTCTGGCCAGGTGTGGTGGCTCACACCTGTAATCCCAGCACTCTGGAAGGTGAGAAAATTGCCTGAGCCTAGGGGTTTGAGACCAGCCTGGACAACTTGGTGAGACCTGGTCTCTACAATAAATTTTCTTAAAAATTAGCCAGGTGTGGTGATGTGCACCTGTAGTTCCATCTACTTGGAAGGCTGAGGTGGATGGATTGTCTGAGCCCAGCAGGTTGAGGCTGCAGTAGTCATCAATGTGCCACTGTACTCCAGTCTGGGTGAGAGTGAGACTCCGATTCAGAAAACAAAAAAACAAAACATGCAGATTCTTGGATCCTACCTCTAGACCTACTGATTCTGAATTTCTAGGGTGTTTAGGAGCTGTTGAAACAATCCCTAGGGGATTGCAACTTGGGTGACACTTGCAGAAACGTGTTCAGATGGTGAGCCACTAGGGGGTGGCGACCTTGCCTGCCTGGTCCACTCCTGCAGTGCCAGTGTGACAGAGCTGCAGGGTAGGTAACCGTCGGCAATTAGAGGTGGGATGTCACAAGGCCCGAGGATCGGGATTTTCTAGAGTTGGGAAGAATAAGGATGTTTTTGCTTCCTAGGAAGAAGCCTTAATTTTTTTTAAGTGGCTGTGATTCCCGGTGAGAAGATATGTAGAGTCAGTAACAGCTTAAGGATGCTGGAACTTCAGATCAAAAGAGACAGGCGGTTATCCTGTAGCGGGGTGCCTGAGCATGAGTGTGACATCTCGCACACAGCTGTGGCAGGAGTATGGGTACAAGAGGACCAGGGGAGGTAAGGGTAGAGCCATGGCAGGGAGAGAGGGTAGGTTATGCCGGGGAAAGGCTGGGGTGAGCAGACCAAGCTGAAGCCCCAAGGATGCAAAGGAAGTCCAGCCTGGTCCTGGGCGTGCTCATGGGTCACTCCTTTCCCGTCCCTCCTTGCTGTGTAAACTGCACCTGAGGGACGCAGGTCAACTGCCCAGTTCTAGCAAGCTTTCCATCTGGCTGGAGGAAGGAGGCTGGGATGAGGAGGACAGGGCTGGGAGGGGCTGGGAGCAGCACTGCAAGACCCCTTGGCCGCTTCTGGGGAGGATGGCGTTCCTCCCACAGCCACAAGCTAAAGTGGAGGAGGTCAGGGTAGGCTTGGGAGCTGGATGTTTCCATCCGAATCCTGTGCCTGCGATTCCAGTGTCTGTCATCTTGTAGATAGTTGTGTTGATAGTGGTGCCTGGGGCTTTCCTGAAAACTGGAGAGAAGTGTTCTCTTAAGTCAGGTGAGGCAGTGCTTGTTGGGTTCGCCTGGCTTCTGGGAGCTGAGCCTGTGGGGGTGGGGGGAGGAGTCCTAGAATGATTGTACCTGGGCTGGGTGGGGGGGGCAGCATGATGTTGCATGCCATTGTGATTGTAAGTATCAAGCATGTATGTAGTAAATCGAGTGAAGAGCCTTTTCCCACAAGAAAGTCATGTGCGGAGGTCACAAAGGAGCAGCAGGGAAGATGGGCAAGTCTGTCTGAAGACAGGAGTCTGACAGAGACCAACAGGAAGCAGGACTGGAAAAGAGGCAGCAGGGGAAGGGTCTGGGACGCAGTCTGACTCTTGGGGGTGGATCACAGGGAGGCACTGACCTCAGAGCCACAATAGCTGCGCCTGACCACATCCACAGCAGGGACAAGTCAAGCCTTCCTGAAGCAACCTGTGACGCTAAGGAAGCAACCCGAGACGCTAAGGAAGCAACCCCTCCCCTGACCCCTCCCACTGGCTTACTGAGAAGGCGTGGAGCCTGGCAGGAACATTGGCTCTAGATCTGATGCTTTAATCCTGGCCCTGCCTTCATTAGCTGTGTGACCTTAGGAAATCTCACAACCTTTCTGAGCCTCAGTTTCCACATCTGGAAAATGGAGGTGGTGAGATACATCTCACAGGGCAGTTGTAAAGATGAGCTAAAGCATGTGAAACACATCAGCGCTGAGCCTGACACAGGTGAGGCACTCACTAGGTGACCTATCTTGTTTATATTTGGGTTATTTCCCTTGAAAGTTGATTAGGAAAAATACCAACCTTATCTTCTTTGAGCAAAGAAGCAATGGGATTTGGACATTCACCCCACCAGCTGAGTTGGAGCTAAGACAAGTTGGTCTGAGTGCCTAGAGGTGGGGATGGTGCTGGCTGAGGGGCAGGGAGGGGCAGAGTAGGTAGAGGTGAGGAGAGGGGTTGGCTTGGGATGGGGCTGGGTGAGCCATACCAGAATGAGGTACCGGGAGCGATACTGCACGGTGCCAAAGATGCCCAGGATGACCGCCATGATGTGCAGGAAGTTGGCTAGGATGGGGGCCCACTGGTAGCCCAGGAAGTCAAAGATCTGCCGCTCCAGTGCAGCCACCTGTGGAAGAGACAGGCTGAGGCCAGTCACCCCCTGAAAGAGGACAGGGACTCCTCCTTGACCTTGTAGAGCAGGTGGCTCCAGTTAGCATGGTGATGAGGCTCAAGTCTCATAGTCTTCCAGCTCCTCACTACCAAAGAAATGCTGGGAGATGGGGGTATGGGTGGGTCCTTAAGCCAGATCATCTTGGGCTGGGCTGAAGGGAGCCAGGAGCCGGGGTTTAGGTCTCCTCCCCCCAAGGAAGCCCTCACACTAGCAGCTCAAGCTCCTGTACCTTCTCCATGTGAGGTCAGGATCCAGACTGCTGCCCTCAGCCCTGGCCAAGGGCTGAGCCATAGCCCAGGAGGGCCAGGTAAGTCTCATAGCCTAAGATACATTTTCTTATTTTATGTTATTTTTGAGTTGGAGTCTCACCGTCTGTCACCCAGGCTGGAGTGCAGTAGCATGCTCATGGCCACCATAGCCTCAAACTGCTGGGCCCAGGCGATCCTTCCATCTCAGCTTCCAGGTAGCTGGAACCACAGGTGCACGCCACCATGCCAGGCTAATTTTTTGATTTATTGTAGAGGTGAGGTCTTGCCAAGTTGCCCAGCCTAGTCTCGAACCCCTGGGCTCAGGTAATCCTCTCGCCTCTGTCTCCCAATTTGCTGGGATTATAGGTGTGAGCCACCATGCCCGGCCTGAGTTACCTCTTCTAGATTCCTATCTGAGGCTGTCCTGGCCCATGGGATCCACATGCTACAGAAAAGGAAATTTTTTCACTCCCTCTCCCGGGGGGAGCTATAGTAGATTGCAAAATTGGTCTCAAAGTTTTCTCTTCCAGGCCGGGCGCAGTGGCTCACGCCTATAATCACAGCAATTTGGGAGACCGAGGTGAGGGGATTGCCTGAGTTCACGGGTTTGAAATCAGCTTGGGCAACTTGGTGAGACCTTATCTTTACAATAAATCAAAAATTAGCTGGGCATGGTGGCACGTGCCTGTAGTTCCAGCTACTTGGAAAGCTAAGGCAGAAGGATAGCCTGAGCCCAGCAGGTCGAGACTGTGGTGACCGTGAGAGTGCCACTGCACTCGTGACAGAGTGAGACTCCAACTCAAAAAAAAAAAAAGTTTAGCTTCCTGTTTCCAAGCTCATTGGTAGTGCCTTTTCATGTGAACACTGACTTGGCCATGTAACTTGCTGTGCCCAATGGGACTTTAGCAAACACAATGCAAGTGAAGGCTTGAACAATGCTTGTGCAAAACTAATGCTTGTTCAAGATCAGCCTAGGAAACATAACAAGATCATGTCTCTACAAAAAATAAAAAATTACCTGGGCTTGGTGGCATCCACCTACAGTTCCAGCTACTTTGGGAGGCTGAGATGAAAGGATTGCCTGAGCCCAGGAGGTCGAGACTGAGGTGAGCTATGCTCAAGACACTGCACTTCAACCTGGACAACAGAGTGAGACTCCAACCCTCTCTCCTCCCCAAAAAAGAAAAAGAAAAATGCTTGTGAATTGTAGCTTGTCCACTTGTTTCACTTGAAATAAGACCTCCTTGTGAATGAGCTGGAACTGACCTGCTGGAGGATGAGACTATGTGGAGAACAGAGGCGGCCCAGCTGACAGCCAATCAGCCATCAGCTACATGAGCAAGGCTATCCTAGATCACACCAGACCACTAGCTGACCACTGACACATGGCCCAGACCAGAAGAACCTCCCAGCTTACCCACAGAATCGTGAACTAAATACAATATTTTGTTTATTTGTTTGCTTTTTTTTAAGAAACAAGGTCTTTCTCTGTTGCTCAGGCTGACATGCTGTGACACGATCATAGCTCACTGCAGCTTCAAACCCCTGGGTTCAAGTGAGTTTCCCACCTTGGCCACCACAGCCTCAACCTGCTGGGCTCAGGTGATCCTTCCGCCTCGGCCTTCCAAGTAGCTGGGACTATAGTATGCACCACCACGCCTAGCTAATTTTTCTTGATTTATTGTAGAGAAGACCAAATTGCCCAGACTGGTCTGGAATCCCTGGGCTCAGGCAATCCTCTAGCCTTGGCCTTCCAAAGTGCTGTGATTACAGGCTTAAGTCACTGTGCCCAGCTAAATTGTTGTTTTAAACCACTAAGTTTTGGGCTAATTTGTTGGCAACAAAAGGTAATTATACATGTAGGAATCAACCAATACTCCCTTCATGGCGACCCTCTGATTCAACCTTTCTTCTGATGTACTTAGGAACAAAGATGCCTAAATACCTATTGTGTTGGCCTGACCAACATGCCACCTTCTAGTGACAGAATCCATTGTTTTGTTTTCAAGAACCATCTCTCATCACTCTATCCATGTGGCTTGGGTGGGGCTGACCCAATTTATAGTTTCTAGGGTGGGCAGGAAACCCAGGTCTTGCTAAACAATCCAAGATAGTATGGGGTCAGCAACAGGCACTCGCCCTGTGCCCTGCCCTGGAACATGGACTGAGCTTCTCTCCTGCCAGGATACCCAAAGGGGTGTGGTGTCATCTTGGAGCTGTTGGTTGCTGTGTTTGCCACCTCAGGAGGACGGCCTGCCTGAGGAAGAAACCACAGCAGAGGGACAGAGAGCGTGTGGGAGGAGGATGAAACAAACAAAGGAAGTGTCCTGGTGACATCTTTCAGGTCTTTGAATCTAGCCATGTCTAAAGCTAATTCTCCATCCTTGTACTTTTTTTTTTCCGAGTCAGGGTCTCACTGTTGCCCAGGTTGGAGTGCAGTAGCACAAGTAGCTGGGACTACAGGTGCACACCACCATGTCTGGCTAATTTTTTTATTTTTGTAGAGATGCAGTCTCACTATGTTGCCCGAGCTGGTCTCAAACCCCTGGGCTCAAGCAATCCTTCTGCCTCTGCCTTCCAAAGTGCTGGGATTATAGGCACAAGCCACTGCACCCGCCTCTCTCCTTGTACTTTTTATTTCTGTTATTTGCAACCAAGAGGCGTGACTGAATCAGAAGGGGAGAGAGAGGGTCTGGCTGGGGAGGAAGAGGAAAGATTCAGATGAAGTGAGAAGATCCCAGGAGGCTTTTTCCTGGCAGGAAGGGAGGAGGTGGAGCCGAGGCTACCACACAGATGGCAAGGCTTGGGCAGAGACCAAGGAAGTTGCAGCTTGGCCAAAGGGTGAGCGGAGCCTGGTGGTGCCAGGCCCAGCCCTGGCATCCACCCACCTGGCTCCAGGCTGCCTCTTGCTGGTGACCCCCCTCCTCCCAGGGCTCTGCAGATTGTGAAGTTCATCTCTCCCTTGGCAGAAAGGCAGAGCTGGAATCATTATTTCATTTTGAAGAAAGAGAACATGAGGCTCAGAGAGAGGCAGTGACGTGCCCAAGGTCCACAGCAGGTTGTTGGCAGAATAGGCCTTTTGCTGCCACCTGTCCCATCTTGGCACCAATGTACCACCTTTCCCAGTTGGCTCTGGCCTGGGAGTCAAGAGGTGCAAGTTCTGGTGGAAAGCCTGCCTCTTACTCCTAGGTGACCTTGGGACTTGCTCTGCATAGGAGCCACTGGCTAGATCATCTCCAAGGGTCCTTCCTGCCTCAACTTCCATGGTCTGCTGACCTTGGGGGAGAAGCCCCCAGGTGTGTCCAGGGCCGACAGATACAGTCTCCCTGTGCTGCTCTCATCATCCTCTTCCCCCCTTCTACCCTGACTCGACCAGGCCTTGATGTTCTCGACTAGCAGGCAACTGGTTCAAGGGAAGAAGGTGGCCAACAGAGGATGGAGGAGAAGGCTTGCCCAGGCTCATGGTGTAGCTGGGGACACATCCTGCCTAAATATATCCACCTAAGAGATGACATCACCCCCACTCCCACCCTGCCCTTATTCCAACTCCTCTCTGTTTTCTGTTACCTTATTGACAGAGGGACAGTTAAAAAAAGAAAATAAGTTAGCTTTGTAGTCAAACTCAGGTTCAAATGCCAGCTCAGCTGTGTGACTTAGGGTAAGTCACTTTCCCTCTCTGAACCTATTTCTTCAACTACTTACAGAGAAGATAATCCCTCCCCTGAGAAGTTGTTGTGAGACATCACATAGACTAACAGGCAATTAGACTTGATAAACAGTGGCTAATTAATAGAAGACTTAGTCTAAGCTTCCTAGTCTGGTACTGAAGGCCCACTAGGATCTGGCTCAATCCTTTATTTTCCTTCAGCTCCTGCCTCCAACAACTTAAGTCCCATCTTCATTTCCCTTTGTCTTTAACAAATTTTATTTTTTTAATTTATTCTTTTTTTTGAGTTGGAGTCTCACTCTGTTGCCCAGGCTGGAGTGCAGTGGCATGCTGATGACCACTGCAGCCTCGACCTGCTGGGCTCAGGTGATCCTTCCACCTCAGCCTTATGAGTAGCTGGGACTACAGGCGTGAACCACCACACCCGGCTAATTTTTTGATTTATTGTAGAGATGAGGTCTCGCCGAGTTGTCCAGGCTGGTCTCGAACTCGTGGGCTCAGGTAATCCTCTCACCGCGGCCTCCCAAAGTACTGGGATTGTAGGCGTGAGCCACCGTGCCCAGCCCTATTTATCCTTTTTTTTTTTTTTTTTGAGTTGGAGTCTCACTCCGTCACCCAGACTGG